CCTAGTATCGTGTTTACAAATTATAATGGACGACGGACGGACGGACACCCACGTCTAGATCGACTCAGCTAGTCGAGATATGACGATAGGTATACTTAAAGGTGGGTCTAGGACCAATATTTCGTGGCGTTACAAACTTTTGGGGCTGCACAAAGCTATAATACCCTGACAACATAGTTGTGTAGTGTATAAAAATGGGTGTATTCGGGGCCAACATCTGTTTTGTTTAACAGATAACATTCATTCATAGAACGTGTTGCCCACACGCCTGTTATAGCAGTGAACCATATTTGATGACAATTATATTTATAATGGTAGTATAAACTTGATAAACAATTTCATATCAATTTCATATAATCATAAAAAATGGGAGTGATTTCGATACTATTTTCAATTATAATAAAGGTAATCTAATAAGATCGTCTGCCTTTGATATGCATATTAAATGAGTACAGAGTAGTTTACTAAGACCCTACAAAAAGGTATAGCCAAGCATTCGTTAAAAAATAAATTCTTACCTCTTGATGGCTATTGTATTTTTGATTGCATAGAAACGTTGACCACTTTATTTTGTCATAGACCAGAAAAGACAATATAGATTTTGGGTCATCATTTTTTTTAACTATTTTCATATTTTTCACAATTTCATGGAATTCAATTTTTTGACCTTAAATGAATATAGTTACTTATTTACTTTTTTTTTAAGTGATTATTTATACTCTTTCGAGTCGAGCTTGATGATCTAAATTTTGCAATGAAAAGGAAAGCCAGGAGAAGAACCTACGTACCCACCATTATGCGACGCGTTTCGCCGTTGGTTAAGCGGCTCATCAGGCATATTGGGCTATGTGGCTTTACAAAGGTCGTACGTTGATAACTTGTATTTATTCCGCCCTGATGCGAAACTTGCATATGCGAATTAAATTCAAATTTGTCAAAGTTCGACATTTGTCTTCATTCTAGGAACAGTCCTTTTCAAAGCAGATTTTTGTTGTAGCGTTCTGAGCCATCAACACACTTCCAAAAACGGTTGCGCAAAAACATGTGTATACCATGGAAGCAATTGTAGGTGTGTGGATTAATTATCCATCGCTACAACAAAAATCTGCTTTGAAAAGGACTGTTCCTAGAATGAAGACAAATGTCGAACTTTGACAAATTTGAATTTAATTCGCATATGCAAGTTTCGCATCAGGGCGGAATAAATACAAGTTATCAACGTACGACCTTTGTAAAGCCACATAGCCCAATATGCCTGATGAGCCGCTTAACCAACGGCGAAACGCGTCGCATAATGGTGGGTACGTAGGTTCTTCTCCTGGCTTTCCTTTTCATTGCAAAATTTAGATCATCAAGCTCGACTCGAAAGAGTATAAATAATCACTTAAAATCACATTCAAAATGATCACAAAAATTCAAATAACAAAAAGTTACTTATTTACGATTTTTAATTAAGCTCCCACATATAGATTATATTTATAACAACGCGGCGTACATGTTACGAACGTTCTAAATCTGCGAATAGATTTTTAAAATCGATCAATTAGCATGTTCATCACACATAGTTGGTCCATCACCAATGCAAGCGGCATAAGCCATCAAATGTGGAATTGTATGTTGTTGCAATACCCCACTGAATAAATGGGCAAATGGTCCCGTGGCAAAAATTCCAACATCTTCGCCCGAATGATGACCAGCAATGGATTTTACGTAACTAGGATACACCGTTTCTAAGAATCCAATAAAGAAATAAAATTAGGTACTTCACTAATTAAATATTTCAAAAAGTGTTCTTACCAATATTTCTAGGAATTTTTTCCAAGTCCACACGTTTGCCACTTTCATCGATATACTGCTCTCGTCCCAATGGATAGCTGAGTGTGGAGTACTTTAGACCATCCGATCCGACATCGTGTGTACTTAAACCCAATATGGATGAACCACGACCAGGATAACCATTAATTGTGAGACCATGACCATGATCAGCTGTAACTACAATAAGTGTCTCCTCGGGGTTTGTCATTTCATAAGCTAACTCAATGGCCCTCTCAAATTCCAATGTTTCATCCAATGACATGGCTGCCTTATTTTCATGATGAGCCGTATCGATGTTGCCACCTTCGATAAATACAAAATAACCCTGTTCATTGCGCTGCAAAAGTTTCAAAGCTGTTTCTGTCATTTCTGATAACGAAGGTTGTTTCGATTTATCTGCCACCGCTTGATAGTTCATTGATTTGGTATTGAATATACCCATAATATGTGAAACATTGGCGGTATTTACGTTCAAAAGCTCGTCACGATTTGTAACCAAGGCTCCATCGGGATGCATGATTTGCCAAGTGTTGAGGAGATTTAGACCATCATCACGTATACCATTATTGCCATGGGCATCTTTAAGGGTTTTTGGTAAAAATTTAGCCATACCACCACCCATCATAACGTTGAAGTTACGACCAGGTTCCTGCAACACGAGTTGTTGGGCCATATCCAAGCACGTTTCGGGATCTTGTCCAAAGGCTTTAATGTCGGCATCACTTTCATATAAACGATTGGCAACATGAGCATAGGTACCAGATGGGCTGGCATGGGTCAAAGTGGTTGTTGTGACAAATCCTGTAGATTTGCCAGCCTTTTGGGCCCAGGCAGCAATGGATGAAACATGATTGGCGGGATCCATACTGGCACTGCAGTTGTTATATTCTACATTGGCCGTCACACCGATCGTTACAATATTACCTTTTATACCACACAAATATGCGGTGGCAGTACAGGCTGAGTCGGGTACTTGGGCATTGGCACAGTATGTCTAAATTTTGAGGATTTTAAATTTTACTTATGGTCTTATTTGTTTATTAATGATAAGATTTACTTACCTTACTCAGTGCCATATGGGGGAATTTTTCAAAACTCAGGGCATCTTCTTCACCGTTATGATTTTTACGTTGTCCCTTAAGGATACGAGCAGCAGTCACCGTAGACAAGGACATTCCATCACCAAGGAACATGATAATATTTTTGGCTTTATTTACATTCAGATTTTGTTTTCCAATAGCCTTCAAAACTTCCTCCCTTGCCATAGAACGCCAAAATTCCGGATCCTTCTCCTCTTCTGGAGTAGGCTTGTTTACACCCAGTGTTTCTATAATAATTGTACTTCTGGTATTCACATTTTGACCTGCCAGTTTCTGAGGACTATGGAAACTAGTGTCATCTATAATGTGACCAGAAGCAAGTACTACGGCCACAGACACGACGAGTAAAGAGAAAATATAGTTTGCCATTTTTTGGTACCTAAGTGTTGTTGGCTTGAAAATGAACGCTAAGACTGTGGTGCAGAAGCTATACAAAATTTGTATTTATATTTGATTTTGGCACAGGCTTGTTTAAATATAGCCACACTTAATTTATTGCGATTGTAAACGAATTTTGTTATCTTATATTTCCACACCCTTTACACTGTCATTGGTATAACTATGTTATTCTTATACGTTATATAATATATTCATGTTTATGCTGTATGTATTATCGTGTGTATAAATGGTGTCAGATAAGGCAATAGTCATTTGAAAACCAGTAAGGAAAGTAGTAAAGTCGGACGGTGCCGACTATATGATACCCTTCACCACTATGGGTATATTAAACAGGATTATTAACATGAAAATGAAAGAAATAAAATATGTGATATTTATGTAAATGTGCATCTACCTAGATCTATCCATAAAGTATGTAAATCGAGTTCAAACAAATATAAATAGGTCATCCGTTTGGCTATGTCTGTAATTCTAGAAAACGCAACTGCGTAATTCTATGCTCAATTTTGTAAGTTGTGCAAAAATTGATGTCAAACTGACTAACAATTTACTTGAAATCGGGCGAAAATATATATGGAAGCTCTATCCAAATATTAAGAGATTTCAAAAAAAACTTGTCACAGGTTAGGCTATACTAATTTCAGAACGTTTTGTTCCTATCAGCCTATTGGTTCCTTGGTGCGTCAATTACTTAAAGTAAATCTATATTAAAAGGGAGCTATATCTAAATCTGGACCGATTTTCACGAAACAAGGCAGACATAACTCTAGGCTCAATTCAGTACGTTATGCCAAATTTCGTGCAAATCGAAAGATATATAGGGACTTTGGGGCACCATTTACATGAAATCGGACGAAACTATATATAGGAGCTATATCTAAATCTGGACCGATTTTCTCGAAACTTGACAGACATCACTCTAGGCTTAATTCAGTACGTTATGCCAAATTTCGTCCAAATCGAAGGATATATAGGGACTTTGGTGCACCATTTATATGAAATCGGGCGAAACTATATATGGGAACTATATCTAAATCAGGACCGATTTTCACGAAACTTGGCAGACATCATTCTAGGCTCAATACAGTACGTTATGCCAAATTTCGTGCAAATCGAAAGATATATAGGGACTTTGGGGCACCATTTACATGAAATCGGACGAAACTATATATGGGAGCTATATCTAAATCTGGACCGATTTTCTCGAAACTTGGCAGACATCACTCTAGGCTCAATTCAGTACGTTATGCCAAATTTCGTACAAATCGAAAGATATATTGGGACTTTGGGGCACCATTTACATGAAATCGGACGACACTATATATGGGAGCTATATCTAAATCTGGACCGATTTTCTCGAAACTTGGCATACATCATTATAGACCTAAATGATTAGGCTGTACCAAATTTCGCGCAAATCGAAAGATATATAGGGACCGTTTACATGAAATCGGTAAAATATATATATGGGAGCTATATCTAAATCTGAACCGATTTTTCCCAATTTCAATAGGGTTCGTCCTTGGCCCGAATAAGTGACCTATGCCAAATTTCATCCAATTCGGATCATAAATGCGACCTGTACTTTGTTTACAATTTAACATGCACAGACAGACAGACGGACGGACGGACATGCATAAATCGACTTAGAAAGTGATTCTATGCATATTCTCAAAAGGAACCATGTGCCTATCTCGTTTCCTTTTGCCTGTTACAAACATATGCACAAAGACATAATACCCTGTACCACAGTGTGGTGAAGGGTATAAAAAATAGGTGCAATAACTATCGTTATGGTCGAAGGTTGTCCCAACTTGGTTGTGATTAAATATGTTTAATTTTTTTATTATAGTTCAAGAGGACTACGCATGAGATAAATTTAGATATTTCGCCTTCAATTTTAATCAGGGCATAAATAGGAAGCAACTTATTACAATGAATGAATAAAATTAGTGCTTATAAAATCAAAGATTTAAATGAAACCCGAATGCAAAATATCCTACACCACATCGGGATAGATGCGTCCTCAAGATACCTATTGTATCCATAATAATTTAGAATACTTAAAGAAATATGTGGATGGTACCTGATATCATTGCAGTTGTTCAATAAATACGATCTGTATCTCATCTAAGGTATCTAATATAATATCTCATCTATGGTAAATATAGTACAAATACAGTACAGCTATTGTCCAGATTCCCTTCACCGTGGGTTGTGTTGTGATGTACGGCTTTCATTTGTGGTCTATAGATCGACTCTAAAATACCACAAAAAATTAAGTTTTTGGTCCACTTCATTCCAAAATTAATACCTGATCATCACTGAAAATTATAGGCGTTGTCCTTGACCATAACTGGAACCTCATGGAACAATTCAAAGCGATCAGCGCTATAGTATAGTATATAATTGGTATTAATTTAAAGGTCAACCACTCCTCTCGGATATAATATAAACTTCTCGGGTCGATGTCCTTCAGGTTTAAATATATACGCCATAGAATACAAATTTTGTAATTTTTCACACAAAGGTCAGGGTCCATTTGACCCCTTAAATATTGACCGATCTTTATGAAAACAGGCATGCTTATTCTTTGGCCCAATCCCCTTCGCCATGGAAAATTTCAAGATGTTCGGGCCATTATAGCGGCCTCTGGAGCGACCTGAAAACCCGTCAAAAATTTAGTATTTGGTCCATATCATCCCCTAAATATTAACCGATCTTTCCCAAAAACATTAGGGGTCTTCATTGGCCAGAACCCATCCTACATGCAAAATTTCGTGATTGGTCCATAACTGTGGCCTGTATCGTGTTTACAAATTATAATGGACAGACGGAAGGACGGACGGACACACATGTCTAGATCGACTCAGCTGGTCGAGATATGACGATCGGTATACTTAAAGGTGGGTCTAGGACCAATATTTCGCGGCGTTACAAACTCTTGGGGCTGCACAACGGAGGCTGCGACAACGGTTGCCATCAATAACATCACAGGGAGTCTTGAAACCCAAACCGATATCACGGTCTTCTTCTTGGGGATGCCGGGCTTAACCTTTCTGTGTAGGTTAATGCCGTCTTGTTTTTGAAAGACTTTCTCGGTTTGCTGACCAGCCATATTGTGGATTTATGCATGTCAATTTCTCTGTCTGTTTATTGAAATCCGGATAGGGTCCGTAATGGAAGATAACATTTTTCGATTAGCTAGGATAGCCTCCATATAACGGTCTCCATAAAAATTTCGTTTTTTTGGAAAGTTTGGATACGTTTTTCAATCGAATTGGTATTTTGAATTCTCATTAGGTATGCAAATATACATGCCAAAAATTATCAACCTTATCCCATTTTTAGGTGGTTTTACAGTTTTTTTTATCAGGTTGGGCTCCTATTTGGTTCTCAATGTATGTCAAATATTCTAACCAAAAGGTTGTAAGAATATAATACGTCATATCTCTACATTCGGAGTTCGGTCCGGCAGAACTTAAGGACGTTTTTACTTGTTTCTCTTGATTTATACCCTCCTCCATATTATAGAGGTTATATTAACGTGTTTGTCATTTCCGACCTTATAAAGATTATATTTTCTTTATGAATTTAGAGTACTGACATTTTGCAGGGCTTTTTGAATATTGGCTATATCGGTCGACGTTCCAATTTACGTTTTTTTCTTTTTGAATTAACTATGTGGAGAGTTTGAAAACTACATTGTATATAAATATTAGTAGGCCTATACTGAACATTTCAGAAAAAATTGCACCAAATACAAATTTTAACAATTTCAAATAGAGATTTTTCCTAGAAACTCAAAAGACCAAAACGTGGGCCAATATTGACAACGCATGACAAGGAATTACCGAGTACATGGAGATATCATTATATGAGGTGATATGCCTTATTGAGGATCGATATAGCTCAATTTCGAGCATAGCATTCTATCTCAATTCGTTTAGAGGCTAAGGTGATTACAACGGACAGACAGACACGCTTAAACCGTCATGTATTTTTATGCTGATATACTTTATAGGGTAGAAAATTACTATTACGGAAACGGAACAACAAACTAAATATACCCTCCATACTATAATGGAGGATATAAAAATATCTGTTAAGTAAAGGTATTAGTATAGCCTAACGTGTCTAAGGTTGTGTTGAAATCGCTTCAGATTTTGATGAAGTATCCATAATTTTCCTATTCCACGTCACAAACATATGTACAAAGAAATAATACAATGTACCACACGATGGTAACCACAGTGTGGTTACTTACAGATAATTGTCATTTTAAAACGTATAAAATTTAATTTCAAAATCAATAATGCTATAAAAATGAGTGTATTCGGGGCCAACATCTATTCTGTTTGACAGATAACCTTAATTTCACTTCATAGAACGTGGTATTCACATGTTCTTTATAGAAGGGAACCAAATTTTGTTGACAATTGGATTTATAATGGTAGCATAAACTTTATAATCAGTTTCATATAATCATAAAATAATTGGTGTGATTTCAATGCTATTTTTAGCAAATGTATTCTTATAAGATCGTCTGCTTTGGTATACACATTTTATGATTACAAGTGGTAAATTTCAACCCTACAAAGAAAGTATACTTTATTTTAGACAGGAAATGACCTCATCGATTTTGGATGCACTCTTTGTTCGCAATTTTCATATTTTTCAAAATGTCATTGTAAATAGTTTAATTGTAAATTGTGTGTTATTGTCTTTTTCTTGGAATTCAATATTTTCGCCTCAGATAGAATTAGTTTACACGGGGGGTCAATATTTATAATTCCAGGTAGGAAGATTTAATCCGCAATGAAATTGTAAAATTCATTATTACAGCCATTTTGGTTGAAACACATGTACAAAATACCTAATAGTACATTCACCACAACAACACAGTCGTTTTCTTGTCTCTGATTTGGTGGGTTAATGGAATTCTGAGAAGCACAACCATCAATTTATATATTGGGAAGAAGTTCCGTAAATAAATCAATAAACGAAGACACGCCGCACTATGTAGCGAGTTTATATTAACAGCGGCCAAAAAATAGAACGAGTTATCGTAGGTGGATGAAATTTGGTACAAGTGTTTATTATTGGCCTAAAGAGTAAGTTAAAAAAACTGCGTAGATCGGACCAAGATTTGATATAACTCCCATATAGTGGGTCTTGAGAACTTCACACTTTTTGGCCCAAAAAACCTTTAATTTTCAAGCAAATTCAATAAAAATTGACAATTTGTATCTACTTAAGTCTGTAAAGCAACTCACAAAAAACTGGATAGATCGGTACAAGATTTTGTATAACTGATATATAATGGGTGTGGAAAATGTCTCTCATGTCTCTCGGCCTATAACATCTTTAATTTTCAACCAAATTCAACGAAAATTGGCAATTTATATCTACTTAGGTCCATAAAACAACTGATAAAACAGTAAGGAAAGTTCAAAAGTCGGACGGGACCGACTATATAAAGGTATCATATACCACTTTGGGTACATACAAGATATGTTAAAAACTACAATATCCTGTAGATGGAACAGCCATAGAATCTATGGAAGACCATTGGGATGGAATCGGGCGAAATTAAATCTGATATCTAGATAGATATTTGAACCAATTGAAACCAGTGAGCGGCGCAGTATAGTCGGACGGGGCCGACCATACGATACCATACACAACTACCACGGAACTCAAATTTTCTGCGGATGTTTATTCCGAGCCTGGACAATATTTCGTGATATTGGCATCCTCTTGCCCGATTAGAGGTAAAAAGCACCTCTTCCTCACACTGACATAATTTCCGAATATTACGAGTATTCAGTACAGCTATTGTCCAGATTCCCTTCACCGTGGGTTGTGTTGTGATGTTCGGCTTTCATTTGTGGTCTATATATTAACTCGAAAAAAACACAAAAAATTAAGTTTTCGGTCCACTTCATTCCAAAATTATTATCTGATCATCACCGAAAATTATAGGCGTTGTCCTTGACCATAACTGGAACCTTATGGAACATTTCAAAGCGATCAGCGCTATAGTTCCGCGCTCTAGAGTGATAATATACGGATACGGAGATACCTGTAAATATTTAGGTATAACTCCCACATCCGAGCACATACAACAATATAATTGGTATTAATTTAAAGGTCAACCACTCCTCTTGGATATAATATCAACTTCACGCGTCTATGACATTCAGGGGTAAATATATACGCTATAGAATACAAATTTTGTCATGTTTCACACAAAAGTCAGGGTCCATTTGACCCGCTAAATATTGACCAATCTTTATCAAAACAGGCATGCTCATTCTTTGGCCCGATCCCCTTCTCCATGCAAAATTTCACGATGTTCGGGCCATTATTGCGGCCTCTGGAGCGACCAGAAAAACCGACAAAAATTTAGTATTTGGCCATTTCATCCCCTAAATATTAACCGAACTTTCCCAAAAACAATAGGGGTCTTCATTGGCCAGAACCCATCCTACATGCAAAATTTCGTGAAGATTGGACAGACGGACGGACGGACACACATGTCTAGATCGACTCAGCTAGTCGAGATATGACGATCGGTATACTTAATGGTGGGTCTAGGACCAATATTTCGCGGCGTTAGAAACTTTTGGGGCTGCACAAAGCTATAATACCCTGACAACATAGTTGTGTAGGGTATAAAAACCCCATACACATACCATTCTAAAATCAATGAAAAATTGCATATCAAATATGCAGACTTGGATTCTTTGGTGTACCATTTGTATGAAATCGTGTAAAATTATGTAGGGAGCTATAAATAAACACATGCAACTAATTGAGCACCATTTTTTTTTATCATTCTATATTCAATTTTATACCCTCTACCAAATTTCGTGTAAATCGAACTAATATAGGCCCTTCGGTGCACCATTTACATAAAATTGAACGAAAATCTATGTCTGAACCGATTTCAACAAACCTTATCACACGAACGGAAGAAAATATATATGTGAGCTTTATCTAAATCTGAGCCGATTTTCACCTAATTAATTAGTACTCTGTGCATTGTCCCAATCAGACAAATTCACAAAAAATCGGACGAAACTATATATGGGAGCTATATCTAAATCCGAACCGATTTTAACAAAACTTCGCAGACATATGTTAGGACATAAATCAATATGCTGTGCAAAATTTTGTCCCAATCGGACAAATATTGAGAGTTTGGTGAATCATTCCCAAAAAATCGAACAAAACAATATATGGGAGCTACATCTAAATCTGAAACGATTTCAAAACTTCGCATACATAATGCACCTGATTTAGTGCGCTATGCAAAATGTTGTCCCAATCGGACAAATATTGGGAGTTTGGTGCATCATTTACATAAAATCGGATGAAACTATATATGGGAGCTATATCTAAATCTGAACCATTTTGTCCATTTTCAATAGGTCAAATAAATGAACTGTACCAAATTTCATCTAAATCGGATCATAAATGCGACCTGTACTTCGTTCACAAAAATACATGGACGGACGGGCAAACGGGCATGCATAAATCGACTCAGAATGTGATTCTATACATATTCTCAAAAGAAACCATGGGTCCATCTCGATTCCTTTTGTCTGTTACTGTTCCCATACAAAGGGTCTTGAAAAATTCGCTTTTTGGGCCTATACAATAGTTAATATTTCGGCATATTCGATGGAAATTGACAGTTCACTTAAAATTTGGACGAATACAGTAATAAGTGTTGCAATTTAGATGTTGGTTAGCATTTCAGAATGCTTACTATACAAAGGACCCTGAATAAGTAACTATATTCCCAAATAAGTTACTATACATCAGAATATATTTTGTGACATGACTTGATAGCATCTTGTGAATGTCGCACCACAGGTTATGTACTGTACTATACATATCCAATGGCATGAATGAAAACGTTTCTGTATGAACTTTCTATAAAGGTAATGCAAGTGTTTTCCGTAAATTTAGATTGTAATTTTCTTAAGAAGGATATATAATCTTTAATCTGACTAAATCTAATTCAAAAGCAACCATGACATTTTTCCCAATTAATTGCAAATTTTATGTAAAATATTGTATGATTACTATGTTCTGAATCAGTCGTTTTCCTTCCTATTTGGCCCTCAATAATATCTTTAATGGTATATATAACATATTCGATCCTTATCTTCTAACTATTTCTTGAATATGTCATATTTACGCCAGTAGTAAAGTCAGACGGGCCGACTATATGATACCCTTCACCACTTTGGGTATATTTAACAGATGAATCCTAACAGACGTCGCATTTTTGAAGGACCAGTATAATGAAATTGGATCCATTAATATGTCATTCTGCAACCTATACTAAATTTTTCATTTGGTCAGATATAGAGTGATTCTTACAATGGGATAAAATTATGTAAATCAATTTAAAACAAATATAAAACGAACACCCGTTTATTATTTGAATAAATATCTGATAAACATGAGGAGTTTGGTGTACCATTTACTTCAAATCGGACGAAAATATATATAAGAGCCATATCGAAATCTAAACTGATTTTATCGAAACTTGTCGCAGGTTTTGAGTTCTTGATGCATCATTTACTTAAAATCGGGAGAAAATATATGTGGTAGCTCTATCCAAATTGGACCTGATTTCAACAAAACTTTCCTCATGCTAGGTTATATAAACTTCAGTACGTTGTGCAAAATTTTTTGTCAATCGGCCTAATGTTGGGTCTTTGGTGTACCATTTAACTAAAATCGAACAAAACTATATATGGAGCTATATCTAAATCGGAACCGATTCCTACAAAACTTGGCAAACGTTAGGTTATTAATTTCAGTTGTGCAAAATTTTGTAGCAAACGGCCTAACTTTGGGTCTTTTGTGCTCCTTTTACTTAAAATCGGACGTAACTATATCTAGGAGCTATATCTAAATTTGAACCGATTTCAACAAAACTTGTCACACTTTATGTTATATTATCTTCCGTACGTTGTGCAAAAATGTGTGCCACCTGGGGAATTTGGTGTAGAATTCATATCTAATTTCTAGGTTATACTAACTTCAAAACGTTGTGGAAAATTTTGTGTCAATGTTGTGTAAAATCGGGCGAAAATAAATATGGGAGCTATATCTAAATCTTGACCAATTTTTTAAATTGATGTGTGTTAACATCATTTTAGACCTAACTCAGTACACTATGCCAAATTTCGTGCAAATTACGTGGGAGCTATATGTAAATTTGAAAATATTTCCACGAAACTTAGCACACATCATTCTAGACTTTATTCAGGCCGCTATGGCAAATTTCATTGTACTTTGGTGTACCATTAACATTAAATCGGACGAATATATATATGGGAGCTATATCTAAATCCGAACCGATTTTAACAAAACTTCGCAGACATATGTCTGGACCTAAATCAGTACGTTGTGCAAAATTTTGTAACAATCGGACAAATATTGGGAGTTTGGTGAATCATTCCCAAAAAATAGAACAAAACAATATATAATGGAGCTACATCTAAATCTGAAACGATTTCAAAACTTCGCATACATAAGTATGCACCTGATTTAGTGCGCTGTGCAAACATTTTTCCCAATCGGACAAAATTGCGGACGAACATATATAAGAACATATATAAGAACATATATAAAACATATATCTAACATATATCTAAATCTGAACCGATTTTCAGGAAATTTAACACACATCATTCTAGACTTTATTCAGAACGCTGTGCAAAATTTCGTGCAAATCGAAGGATATATGGGAAGCGTTTACATTAAATCGGACGAAAGTATATATGGGAGCTATATCTAAATCTGGACCGATTTTCAGGATACCTATCATACATCATTCTAGACCTAATTCAGTACGCTGTGCCAAATTTCGTGCAAATCGAAAGATATATAGGGACCGTTTAAATTAAATCGGACGAAAATATATATGGGAGCTACATCTAAATCTGATCCGATTTTCCCAATTTCAATATGGTTCGTTCTTTGGCCAAATAAGTGACCTGTGCCAAATGGTACTTTGTTTACAATTTAACATGGACAGATAGACGGACGGATATGCATAAATCGACTCAGAAAGTGATTCTATGCTTATTGTCAAAAGGAACCATGTGTCTATCTCGTTTCCTTTTGCCTGTTACAAACATATGTACAAAGACATAATACCCTGTACCACAGTGTGGTGAAGGGTATGAAAAGGTGGTCACTAAAAAAGTTTCCGCAGCTAATTTTTTACACGTTGAAGAACGTCCTTTTCACAACTTATTTAAAAAATGTTTACAAATTATATGAACTAAGTACTGTAGTACCATATCGTCTCTATTTACATAAAATCAACAGTGAATTATAGTTTTTAACATCCCAAGCAACCAAAATAAACCCTTTACCAAAATAAACCCTTTTAGCATCAGAAAAATTTACCCATATTTCGAAAAAATTGTGAAAAAATCAGTTTGTCAACAATTATTAGATTTGAATCCTTGTATGGACAAATCTACTTCACGTATCAATACCAAATTTTATATTTATTCTAATTGTAGTGTTTCCTATCAATTATCATCAATAAATTTGTCCTCCGAGGAAGTTGGTTTTGAGATAGATCGACAAAATTGTGGATAGATTCGTCTTTTGTCTGCAGGCAGGTCAAGTTCGAAGATGGGCTATATTGGTCCAAGTTTAGGCACTTTGAGCATATGTTTGTAACAGGCAAAATGAAACGAGATAGGCCCATGGTTGCTTTTGAGAATATGCAAAGAATCACTTTCTGGATGGATTTATGCATGCCAGTCAGTTCATATGTCTGTTTGTCCAATTTGGAACATATAATTTGTTTTGCCCCAAGCACACACTCTATTGAAATTGGTAAGAATCGGTTCAGACTTATTTATAGCTCCCATATATTTTCGTCCGATTTTTAGCAAATATTAAGCCAATTGACACAACATTTTGCACAATGTACTGATGTTAGTATAGCCTAACGTGCGCCAGCTGTAATTGAAATTCGTTCAGATTTAGCAATTGAATTGAGTCTAGAATGACGAGTGCTAAGTTTTGTAAAAATCGGTTCAGATTTAGATAAAGCTCCCATATGTTTTACCTATTTGTTGCACCACAATCCCAATATTTGCCCGATTGAGCGTACTGATTTGAATCCAGACGTATGTCTGTGAAGTTTTGATGAATTTGGTTCAGATAAAGTTCCATATGTAGTTTCGTCCGATTTTATGTAAATGGTACACCAAGCTCCCAATATTGATTTGGTGCACCCGATTGAGTCTGAATTAAGTCCAGTTTATGTATTTTTACATGAAATATTGCAGAGGTTATTGGATTGAAATCGAAATTTGTAGAAATCGGTTCAGGTTAAGTTATAACTAACATAAGTATTTTCATCAGATTTCATCTAAATTGTGTACCAAATAAAAAATTTTAATTCGTCCGATTCCATTTTAAATGTTCTCCAAAGC